ACAGCCGTATGAAAATTCAAATGCTCTCACTTCCCTTTAATATAACAACAACCTTTGAATATACAGATGGTTCTCTCTTGACCTGCACATGTTTAAAGTAAACGTGGCTGCCACAGAAACACATGATTTTAATTTAGAAAAAAAAGTTTTTCTACACAGTGACAGTAAATTGATATAACAAATGCCAGCTCACATCAAATGACCTTCACACCATTTCAAAGTTCCTGTCTCAACACGCGCTCGGCAGACTTTCCGTCCATCCACTCCGCTGTATGATGAAGTGGAAGTGGCTTTCACATCGCTCCCCGGTGGCCTCACTAAAGAACTATTAATCCATGGCTCTCCATATTGCATTCAAACCCGCCATCCCCAGCCACAACCTGGTCTAAAGTAAAGGCCAGAAGAGGACCCAGAGGACTGGACACTCTTATTATGAGCTGCACTGAGACACCTCTAGGTTTCTAAGCACTTCCTCTTGACAGTGACTGATGGCCAATTAACCATTTGGAGAAGAGTATTGATCACTTGGAAAACAGGAAGGACCAGGAAACATCTCCTAACATGCCGCGCTATTCTCACTGTACAAATCAGCAGCCAGACAGCACATTATGGTTACTATAAAAAAAGAAAAATGAGAAAGAAAAGCCCAGCACTCACCAACTGACCACTATATTTGTTTTCTGGCCAACAATGGCAAGCGAAATTATGTCCGAGAGACTCAAGAGAAGGAATCAGCTAAGTGTCAATGTAGAAACCAAGGTTCAAGGTCAGCATAGCATGTTCTCTCTCACCATGAGAGTGGAGAAGGAAATAACCCAAAGAAAAGAACATTTGATTAGACCCTCCAGGGAAAGAGTCCACACACAGCTCAGGAACAAGCTTATCCCGACCGCTCATTGGTGGCCCTCGGATATACGAGGCTGGTCGCTTGTAAGGGATGGTTAGCAGCGATAGACTTACAACAGTAGGGATTGGGGGCAATTTCCCCAACTGCTGATACAATGTCAGATCCTGTGCCCTTCTGTGAATTATTGTCCAGGTTCCCATTAAGACGTAGGGAAATCTCATCCCACATCAGAGTTGAAAGGTCAATTTCATGTTACCCGGATAGAATAGCACAGATAGGGACCATGTTGCACTGCATTTCAGGGGGGAAATAGCCCAACTTCAACCCCTAAGCGCTCTCACATAGACCTGAATCATAGAAATAGGGTAATTGAAACAAAAGGGCAGAGTTTGACAGAGATGTAGTGCCTTTGCAGGGCCTCTGCACAGGCTGCAGAAAATAACACCTAACTCCTCCCCTCCACGAGGTTCATCCTCCATGTGTCCTCGGCAACGGCTGTTTCCTTCCTTTCCTCCTCAAGACTGCCATTTGCAAATGATAAGCGCAGGGACACATCCTGCTGAAAGATAAGCCGCCCCAACATTTGTCACCAAATGGAGCGTGCTCCTCGACTGTTTAAACCTGACCTGTGTTGACTTGCACTGTTTACCTTTTATTCATTTATGCTGAGCTATTATCTCCACCTCCATTAATCAATGCAACTCTAAGTGAAGAAATTACATTTGGCCAAACTTGGACAGGAATGAGATTTGTTTGATTCATTTGTGTTATTTCTTACAAACAAATTAACGTGATGGAAAGAGAATTGAAAATTTAATATATTTGATCAGCTCTGTCCTGCAAATAAGCAACTCCAACTCTCTTTTTCATTATGATATTGCCCAATTCAAATTCTGCATGCAGCATACGATTCATGACAAGCATTTATACTGAGTAATTTTGATTTTTTACCATGCAGTTTTCTAATTGCCTCCTTGCATGATAAACTCTGCAGTTGTACATCATGTTAATTTACTGGTATCAGAAGTTGATCAAATAAATAATTTAATATATAAAATTCCCTCCCCCACATTGTTCCACATTGTTCCTGGAACTTGTCATCTGAATTCATCTCCCATGACTAGAGGGAACGAGAACTCTTTCTGGCCGTAAATTATCTCTTGCCTGTAAAACACCATATCCCTGCAAATACATGGCCATCATTTACCATGCATTAGCCATGGGACAGAAACAGAGTGGTTTTAAATTCCTTTGACCAGAAGGCAATTTCCTCCAATAAATTATGTTGATTCCAGCTTTTGCTCCCCTTATCGCATTTTTTAGTGAGTCAGTGAAGAGAGACAAAACCGGGTTTGACAAAGAAAAGTCTGAGATGATTCACACTAGAATTATGAGACAACTGGCAGAAGAATATCCCTGATATCACTGTACCAGGACAGGGGAAGTCACTGTGACTGAATTACGCAATAGATTTCTGCTTATTGTCATCTAATGGCCATCTCCTTGCATCATCACAAGGTTTACACCCCGTGGAAATTGCTCTGAGGTGACTGTTCACTCAAGTAGGGAGGTGCCTGATACCAAATCCCATGCTCCCTTCGCTGAACCACACAACAATTGCTTGGCAACACTGTCCCTGGGCAGAGTGGAAAACAAAGAAAAGTTCAGGGTCTCTATTCTCTCTGCATTGATAGCTGCGTTTTTGATTTTCTTTTCTTTGGGGAAGCAACAAAAGGACAAACAACAAACTGACAGGCAAGTTAAAGTAAAAATGGGAAACAACAGGAGCAGGAATAAGCTGCAGACGCACACCTATGTGGAAGAAATGCATGTATGCAAATTCTTGCTCAGCTTTGCCCTTGTGTGCACACTGTGCAGTACGGTTCTTTGTTCCTGAGGCTGAAAGCACGCCGCTCCTTTTCTGTCCCGTCCGTCAGATCACTCACAACACGGTGAAAAGGAAAGTGCTCCGCTAGCTCGAATCTAGATTGACAGGCCTACCTTTATTACTGACTGAGTTATGTTTCCCTGCAAAAAAGACGGGTCGGCTTTTGATGGCAATGAATGCAGAGTCAGCACCTTGCCTCTCTACAGAGGATAACTTAACTGATCTCAGCTGAGACTGTCCCAGCCCTGATGTAGAAAGAATTGGCTGGCAAATTACTTTTTGATCCATTTCTGGAACTCACTTTGTCCTATAAAAGTAGCCTGTATGCCGAGATGGCAGCTTATAAGGATGCTTGTACTGGCCTAATATATGATAGGCAGTGACAGACTGGGACAAGGAGAAAGAGTGCGCTCAAAGATCTGATACAGAAGACAGAAAAGAGTAAAACATGTTAACCCTGTATTCATCTACTTCCTGAACTGGCTCATTACTATTCAGGGTCACAGGAGGGCTGAGAGCATATCCCAGGATGCACTGGGCGAAAGGCGGGGAAACACCCTGGGCCATATTGCCAGTGTATCACAAAAACAGAGAAACACACACAAACAGCATCACACCTGTGGGAATTTGGTGTCTTTAAATGAACCTGGAGCTGCAGTTGTTCGGACTGCGTGAGGAAACCAGAGTGTCCAGAGGAAACCAAACACGCAAGGGGAAGAACAACAACGTCTACACACAACTAAAGCACCAAGTCACTTCTAACTACGAGGGAACATCGCCTAACCACTGACACACCACTCCAGCCATATAACCCAGAAACCCTATCCACTTTCAACGTGCATCATAAAATGACTTGTAAATACCACTGCACCGCTACTTACTTAGCTTGATATATGAGGTCCCTGGAGCATGACTGTTTGTTTAATCGTAATATATTCATAATTACACACTAATTAATGCAAGAGTAAAGCCCTCTTAATTCATCATCTCTGTGTCCTGAAGCAAGAGACACAATTACACCAACTCTAACATGTTTGCCTTCTGTCCAAAGCAAGGTTAACAGTTTGGAAACAAGCGCACGAGGTAAATGATGTGTGGAAATTCTGCTGTTTTGGATACTCACCAGTGGCTTCCAGCTGTGAAGCTTTGTGAGGAGGATATTTCACACCAGGGAGGACGAGTAGAGAAGGTGTTTTTGGAGGAAATAGTTGAAATGGTCAAATTGATTGCATAGATTTTTTGAATTGGCTTGAATGTGCAATGTGTGATATGTGTGATATTAGGAGTAAATAACCAAACATGTTCATATCATTTGCACTTGTACTGTTATCTTAGGTTATTAGACTTTCAAATTAGAAATTACTTAATTTTTAATTTTACTTATTACAGGTGTGTTACTGATTAATTTTCTGCTGCAGCTAAAAAGAGGGGAAACTTATCTCAAAGCCATTTATGCTTGGACTCGCCCCATCACAGTGGGATGATTGTTTTGTGCATCACAGCACATTTGCATGCAATCGGGAGTGTCTGGCCGAGAAGCTACATCATAAAATGCAACTCATCAGTGCGAGTAGGGTCGTCTACCAACTCCGTAAAGCTGTCACCATACTGCAAATGCAGCAGGAATGAGTCCTGGCCGGAGAGGATGCCTGGAGGATCCTGCGTTACAAATATGAATATATGTACAGGCTGTTATACTGTTTGTTTCCTCGTACACAGCTCCACAGCTCAGAGATTTTACAACACAATATTATCAGCGAGGGGGTGGTGTTAAACCAGGGAAGAATAAAGTGAAGGTTGAGTATGCGTAAAGGATCTTAAGGTTACTGAGCACTGCCTCAGTGGTGGAGCAGGTGTGGAGCCCTAACTTCCCGTATACAGCCACCACAGTGCGGATAAACCGCCACGCTGCACACTCCGTGGCGCTTATTGCAATAAATATGTTTTATTCTAACAAAAGCACGACACTGAGAGGTGCAGCTCTCAAGTTGGACCCTTGCTAAGAAGCCACGGTCTCTCTCTCTCCTGCGTAACCTTGAGGTGCGGGATAATTGATGGGAAATTAATAGAACAATAACGACATGCCGACAACGTGCTCTGTCACGCGTGGCTGCGTTTTAGCAACACAAAAAAAATAAGACAGAAGAAAAGCACCAGGAAACAACTTGTCACGTGCGGGCTTCTGTGTTCCTTTCCGCAGATGTGCAAACACAACAACACGATTAATAAGAAATCCTAAAAAAAAATCCATCCAGGGAAACTCACCAGTGCAGGTGAAGCCAGCGAAGACGAGGCAGAGCGCACGGAGGAGCGTGGCGCTGGAGCTACAGCGGACAAAGGGGCCCGGGAGTAAGGGCATCTTCGTGAGGGTGTTTTTTTTCTTCTTTCGCCACCTAAGTTTTTAAACAGGCAGGAGGAGAAACACGGGCACGCTGAGCTGCTCTCGGGTCCGGAGAGTGTCCTCTGTGGCAGTAAACGCCTTTTTTCCTTAAAACAAAAAAAAAAAAAAATCACACCGCCCAAGTCTTTTTCCTCAACACATATCCCGGTATCGTGGCGTGGCCATCAGTATCCCGCTCTCCTGCGTCC